ATTAGAATACTCATAGAAATACAGATAAATAAAATGATAAAATTAAACCTAATAGCTTTAATAGACACAAGTTGTACATTTAACATAATTAGAAAAGATTTAATTCCAGAAGATTATAGGCAAAAACTAGAATATGAAATAAGAGGAAATCAAATGGATTGTAGTAAAATGGGATTTGAAGAAAGATCACTGTAAAATTAAATTTCAAGAAAGAGTATAATCTAACAACTACATTAGTAAGTGAATTAATAAAGGACGAATTTCTTATAAAGATAACATTCTTATTAAGTAGAAGTTGAATTTTAACAATCACCCCCGACGTTAAATTTTTGGAAAAGACACTTCTATTATTAACACTATAAACTCATTAGAGTTATGAGCGAAGCGTGGTGACCCCTTACATCCAGAACCATAAACAGAACCAGATGAAAATCAAGAAAGTTTGGAATATTTAAAATATTTATCTTTAGAAACCTTAAAGACCGATTTCATACAAGAACCAAAGAATTAATAATTTTCAATAAAACATCATTTAAGGTAGATAGTATAGATATAATTTTAAAATTAGTTGAAAAATACAGATAATAGGAGAAGACCCTATAAAACATTGGGATAAAAATAAAATTGAAGCTAAATTAGAAATCATAAACGAAAATATAAAAAAAAGAACGACAGAAATTAAACACACAAATCAAGACATAGATGACTTTAATAAACAGATTAAATAGTTGTTAGATTTAAAGGTACTAAGACCATCAGTAGTCAACATAGATTAGCAGCTTTTATAGTTAGAAATTATAGTGAAATGAAAAGAGGAAAAACGAGAATAGTTATAAATTATAAACGATTAAATGATAATACTATATGAGATGGATATAAGATACCAGATAAAGATATGTTGATAAATAAAATACAAAATAGTAAGGCATTTTCGAAATTTGATTGTAAATCTGGATTCTGACAAATAAAAATGACAAAAGATATTCCTTGGACAGTTTTTACTACACCATTAGGACATTTTGGATGATTGTCATGCATTTTGGATAAAAGAACGCACCTTCTATTTTTCAAAAAAAGATGGATACTATTTTTCATAAACTAATTACCAATTTTATTAAATATTCCCTTTCTATTATTTTCTCTTATCAAATTTATGGTTTTTATGTCTTTTTTACAATTTTTAGGATTTTTTTATCAAGAAACTCCGACACCGAGCAATAGAAATCTCAGGAGTCACCTTTATTTCTATCTAATGCACATAATATGTGGCTTCCTATAATAACTAATCTACATATTGTAATGGCCTTAGAGTACTTTACCATTCAGCCAGTCTTATAAAATGCGTAATGCGTTGAGATGTGTCGAGACCGAGAATCAAGAATCATAAGTTTAGGCGTGTCAATGGAAGAATAAGCGTCATAATGCATTTCGTATTTTTAAGGCCTTAAATATATTTTTATATAAAAAAATAAAATTTTTAATTTATCATAAAAAAAATAGATTTAAAAAAAAGAGATTAAACGAGATAATGCGAGCATTGTGCATGCCTAGGCGTGCTAATGCGCGTCTTTTAGATGGAAACACATTTTTTCCACATTTTCCGAATTCGACGCGTTTACGACTTGCGTCGCGCCTAGGCGGCGCATTTGCTCGCCTTTTAAAACATGGCATTCAGCAAATTAATTTTTTCAAATACTTTTTTTTTTCTCTCTCTAAGCTTTTTTCTTGATCTTCTAAGGCTTAAGACTGTGAAAAAAAATTCATTATGCTTAAAAG